CTCTTTCCCAGTAGTTAACAAATATGGTTCGGATATTGGTAAACAAGGCATCAATCATCTGAGCTATATTCACTAGAATCTGGAAGTACAGGAACTGCAGCACAGCAAAAGGACTCTTTGTCTTTTAGGAGAAGACAGCTCCCATCTGAATTCCATTTCAGGTCAGTAATGGTAAACTGTGGAAGAGGATTACTTACACAGTAAGCACCCCCGGGTGTCCACATGTACACATGAGAACTTCCGGTGCAGAGTACAAGACGCGTGCATGTAGGGTCCCAAGCAGCCGCTCGAATCGGATCTTTCTGCACCAAAATGGCAGCAAGTTCAAGATGGTGTATGTCCCATATCCAGAGAACAGTCGGCATGCTATCGTTGCGAGTACAGATGTATTGGCTATCATTGCTCCATGATAAGAGACCTGCGTGGCAGAAAAACCTGATAGTTTGAGTCATATGGTTATAGCATGTACAACAGCTTCTTCAATTTGTCCCACTTGTGTGCAAACGTCCCATAATGAATTTAGCGTTTAGAAACAGCTTATAATGAATGAATATGCATAATGTCCATTACATCACTCATCACATGTGCGAAACAACAGTTTATACAACTCTAGTGTAAAAGTTCTGATGGTCCAACCAGATAGATTTAGGGTCTTGTTTTCTCACGTTTTCAACCTTTATTGGACAGCCGACAGAGGATTAAATTTCCTTCCTTAATCTAAGGACTCCACACCTCTCCAACATTCTATTACTCTCTACCTCAATTTTTAAGCCCATCAACTCTCAACATGTGCACAAGTATGAAGATCTGCCTATCTATCTAGGAACATCGAACAGAACAATATATGATCACTGCCCTAGTATATTTATGCACTTTCCAAGTCCACCTCTCCTCTGTTGACGGAAAACTAGATAGTGATGGAGTAAACGCATCCTCAACCATTTTAACCATAGCACACATCAGCTTACCTTCTAAATTCATATGGGAAGAAAATAATTGCATTGAATGGGAAATTCCAAAACCACATCTTATTAGAATCAGTGTAGTACAAGACAAAGCAATGCTTACCAATTCCTTGTTTAGGATTCGGTTTATCTGCAGGAGGTTTCTGGAATGGCAGATTGACAGGAACATCTGTAATCTCATACCTGACTCTGAAGTGTCCTTCTGAAGTATCTTCTTCAATAGAGAATGTGAATAAATAAAATCGGCAGAGGAAGAAAGCATAGATCCAATAAAAATGATTTAAGTATAAAGAACTCAGAAAGGTTTAGGAAACGACTTTCATAAGGAAAGAAGAAAAAGGTGATGACGTTTTTCAAATGGTACTGATATTGTAAGTGTCTAACTCACAGCCAGGCTTACCGTTGTTGCCTTGTATGAAGTCATCACTTAAGCATAACTCGGACATGTCAAGTTGCAATGGTTCATCTACTTCCTGCAAATTGAAGAGACAAAGATAAAAAATGTTTTCTACCACCATTTCAGTGCACATTAGTGATAAGCCTTTACTCAGGCAAGTGTACATTAGGAAGAGCAAAGACTTAGGAAGGGGCAGGGCTTGATCGTGGGAGAGTTATTTTAGCCTTAAGTGGGAACTCTTAGTGTTAGTAGTAGGTTTTCTGGTTAGCTGGCAGGGGAAAAGGAAAGGAAGGAAATTGTATAAAAGAGGAGGTAAGCCGAATGGAGAAGGGGGGGAATTATAATCTGGAAGTAGAAAAGTCTTGGAATCATTCCAAGCAAGGGGAGGAAGCAGACCCTCGAAGTTCTGCCTATCTTTGTATAGAATTTGTCCGTAAATAAAGTTCCTTCGTTAATTCATTTTTGATTCTTTTGATTCTTGAATTTACTCTTTCGTGAACTTGTTCCCAAACACCAAGGCCTTATCATTTGGTATCAGAGCAGAATTTTTTTTTTCGAGGAAGTGAATGGCGGCCAGGAAAACTGAAGAGAAGTTCGACGCCATGGAAAAGGAGATCCAGCAGGTTAGGGCTTCGGTGGAGAAGGAAATCGGTGAGGTAAGGACCGAAATTAACCAAAATGTGGCAGAAGTGAGTCAGAACGTGTCGGAATTGCGACGACTGGTGGAGGAGCATATGCGACTGCTAATCGCGACGGCGACGGTCGTTCCACCGGCGGAGGATTCACGATCGGGAGCCGCAAGGATTCGGGAGGATGAAATAATAGGGGTGGCCCAGGGCGAAAATCGCGAAATCACAGGTCGAGTTGAGGAGGACGGAGAAATCGCGCGTGCTAGGGCTCGGGAGGCGAACGGAATCCGACTAGACTTCCACCGCGACGGTCGTAATGGTCGACCCAGGGATGGCGAGACTGGCGATGGAGACAGAAATCTCCGGGAAGGACGGCGCGGCGATTATCGCGCCGGAGGACCCACCGACGACGGCCGGAACTGGCGCGGAGGTCGAGATTTTGAAGGTGGGGGAGGAAATCGCGCCGGAAATGGTGGACCCAGGCTGAGGATGGATGGTCAGCATGAGGCTGGACGTTTCGGGAATGGTGGCAGAGAAAATAGGAGGCGTTGGGAAGAGAATGAGACTGGAGAGTCCATGGAGTTTTTTGGAACGTACGGGGAACCTTGGGGGGGAGAGGAATTTTCTCCAATTAGGAGAAAACAGCTGGACTGTCCATTATTCAGTGGAATGGACCCAGACGGCTGGTTGTTTAGGATGAATCAATATTTTTCTATTAATAGATTTTCTGAGAAGGAAAAGCTAATTGCAGCGGGAATAGCTCTGGAAGGAGATGCGTTATCGTGGTTCCAA